CTCCGACGATTCCCGATGACCCTACACCGGTTTTACAAAAAGAGAAAATAGAAGGCGATGTGAAGGCGATGTGTGCAAATGCTGTGGCGCGGTGTAGGTGAGCGGTGTAAGTGTAGTGGTGTGTGCAGTAGCGTGCTGTATGTAAACGATGTGAGTGCTGTGGCGTAATGTATGTGAGCGGTGCAGGTGGTGCGATGTGTGCAAATGCTGTGGCGCAGTGTAGGTGAGCGGTGTAAGTGTAGTGGTGTGTGCAAGGCGGACGCTTTTTGACGAGGAACCCTTCGCAGAGCTTTCGGGAAAAAGAACCCATCACCAGACAACTGCATTTAGAGGCTGAAGGACAAAATTGCTGCATTGGCTTCCTCCATGGTTCTTTAATATTCTTTCTGCAGATCGGGAAGGCGAGCAAGGGGTCCGATTCTGGGCACCATGCAAACAGATCCAAGGAAAACCTGCAGCCACCATCCAAAAGAACCCCACCTGAGTCTGAGCAAACTGAACCGATCAAATGCTTCGCCGGCTTCACCTTTGACGGGGGCCCGGCTTGCCCAAGAGCTCGCATTCCAACCCAGAGGCTGCCTCCCACTTCTTCACTGCTGTAACTGCCGAACCAACCAACGGATGGGGCACAAGGAACATGGGCCAGGGCAGCAACACCGTAAGTATATGTTACGTCGTCAGATGAACGCCTCATATTATAATATGCTGGGGAAAACCCAAGCCGAAGCTGTAGGCGAATAGCATGGTCCCGGCGTTCATGAGCTATGGTAAGCAAGATTCCCAAAAAAACAAGTCCAAAGCGGCAACTACAAAGAAAGCAAGAACAAAGACACAGTTGGCCAGGCACTGCACCACGAAAATCATAAATCAACTTGTGAGACATAATTAGACATAGTGGAACCTAGGGAGTATGCCTCTCATGCGTGTGGCGGGTTTAAAGGCCATGCATGCAGATACTGAAGTTTGTGCAGCGGTACATTGCGTTCTGGCAGCCAGGATGTATGTGTAAGACATTTACCAGGCTCGACACTTGCATTCGTTCAAATGTGGCAGTGGTGTGCCTCAACATCTTCCTGCGCCACCATCATGACGCTGTGCTTGCAAAACCCCGACTCTGAGCAATGTGCTTTGCTAGGCTTGTCAATATGCATTTGGATTCGAGAGCAGGGTGCTTGCTAACAGGTCTCGTCCAGGCCTGCGAGGACAGACTACTCCAACCATGTGCATGGTTTACTCTGCTCCCAAAGTGCTCCTTCGTTTCATGCCTTGAGCCTGGGTAGAGCATCGACAAGTCAAGGTTGGGACGTGAGGCCAAAAAGCAAGTTCAGCTGACAATTTTTTCCGCTGACGCGCGGCAGGTTCCTGGCCAGAGCAGCAGCGCGCTGCTCAGCCGGTTAGGATTTGAGCATCTCGGGACATCTCGGCATATCTCGGTAGTCTGATTCAGGAGGTTAAGGGGAGGTCAACCAGGAAAGTCTGGCTTCATAAACGATCGGGAAAGCCACGTCGTACAGACTGCCGCTACACTGAGTTGTGCCAAGAGCCAATGGCTGGAGACTACCACTCGTGGGTCCAAGCTGCGCCGACGCAACTGCAAGAGGACGAAACTGTCCACTTCTGGGACCGAGCGATGATTAAAGCCATGTGTCGTGTCTCTTCGTGCAAGAACAATGACCCGACTCAAAAATGGTGGCTGATGAGCTTAGAAGAAATCATTCTACGGTAACACTTTTGGCTAGATTGCGAGGTTGGTCTATGGAGCAACCTCTCATGTCTGCGATGTAGTAAGACCTGAGGCGGAACAGCTGCGCGGTTGCTGCTTACTTGCAGAGGGGGCTGGCAATTCAGCAGCGCTTTGACTGAAACCTTGCCGCCTTCATGAAGGAACACCATGCTGAAACAAACATCAAAAGGGCACAAGTTCCGCTAATGACATGACCGCGAACACATCATCCATCCGATTCCTTTACCAATCAGTGTTGCTCGGTTCGCTGCAAAAATGAATGTCTGCGAGCCAAAGGCCTACACAAATCATGAAGCTGGGATCCAAACAGGAGCTGCAGCGGGATGCAGCACATCAACGGCCTCAAGTTCGATGCGGGCAGACTTCTCAGCCCGCAGCCAAGAATCACTCGACATGTCTCAGAGCTGGACTGCAGCTCGAGCTTGGTGTCCGGACAGTGCAAAGTGAAGTGGGCAATCTCGGATGACATCTTTGGCAAGCAATGCAACTACTTTGCAAGTGTAAGCTAGCAAGCATCAGCATGGTGGACAGGCTTGCTGCAAAAGCTTTCTAAGAATTTGCTGATAGTGGAATGCGGATGGTTGGCCGGGGATCTGAGAAAAAGTTGTCATGGGTTTGTGTGATTTTTGTAGAGGCTTTCAGTATCCAGCAGTGGAATTTCTTTGATTTGGGGCTCCGAGGTTCCAAGGATGCAACCAGGGAGGTTGTTTGACCAATCCGAGGCTATTAGAGGGCCCTAAGAGTTTCGTTGTTCCAAATACTTGCAAATCAAGTGCCTGGGTTTTTCAGGGTCTATGTCTGGGGTTCAGTTCTAAAGTCTCGGGTTATGGTTCAGATTGCTTAGGGTGTACTGCTTGAGGTCTGGGCCAGCAGAGAGCTGCTGTCGAAAGGGGAGCCCGCGCTTTGGGAATGAACTTGGACTCTCGGGCATCCCTGTTGTCTGCACATTTCTGCCAGATCGATCCTCACGGATGTTGCGCAAGCAATCTTCACGTTATCTTTCTCCTCGGGTTTTTTCCTCGTCCAATAAGTGCCCAGTGGAAATCCGTCATAGCTAGCAGAAGGAGGCAAAGTTCTCAGAGGAATAGGGTTTGCAACCAAGCTCAAATGATTTTTGTTTATTGGTGTTCAGGGTGAAGAGTTGGCTTTACGATTAAGCCGATTAAGTGCTTGAGGGTTTGGGGTTTGGAAGACGAGGGTTTAGGGTTTAGGATGATTCAGGCTCAGGGTCTTGGACTTAGAGTTTCAGGTTAGGTGTGTCTAGGGTCATTAGAGCTTCATTTAGATGGAAGGTTTTGGGATTGGGGTTTGGGTTTGGGTCCAAAGGTGAAACGTAAGGTCCTTCACAGACAGTTGAGGGATCCAAGATCAGCATTTGACCATCCGAGCGCTATTTAGGAGTGCTTGTCACGCTTTATTCGCCTTGGCCCTGCCAAAAGGCGTTCAGAGCAGCGCACCCGTCCCAGTCATGCGCCCAGTTTCTAGAGGGGTCCTCAAACCTCCCCTCTAAAATGACCCCTACGCCGCAAATGTCCCTTGCCATACTCTTCATACACCGCCCCAAACGGACCCCTAAATGACCCCTATGCTATACCTCTAACCCTTACCTATACGCCCTACGCACGCCCTAAACCTCAAAGGCCGTAAACAACCCTTGTCACTTGTCTAGACCCCCTATGCAACCTGCCACCCCTCTAAAAGACCCCTCGACCCTCAAAATTTCTGGCCCATGCCCCCATATGCGTCCTCCTTGCCAACGGACCCCTAGAACCTAGCCACTAGAGACCCCATCACACCTAAATATCTCCTGCCCATGCCCCTCAACACTCCCTCCTGTTACGTGCGAGCGGCAGATTTCAGATACCAGAACAGAGGATCTACACTTTGCACATTCCTTGTGGTAGCTAACATTTTTACACTTTTCGGCGGGAAATTGCCCCTACTGGCATTAAGGATTTTACGTTTTGATGGGGCCATGAAATGCCATGAAACCCTTCCTGGTAGTGTGGATTTCAGAATAGGTGCTTGGGTGTGCTTCCCCATTGTGCCTATCTCGCCCAGTAAGTATGGGGTCTACACCTGTAAGTATTCCCAAAAAGGGTTTGGGATTTTGCTTCTGTTTTGTGATTCCCAGAGCTGTTGGGTTTATACGGACATCGGCTTGTTCCCGTGAATAAGCATGGGGTTTCTACGGTACCAGATCCCGCTACAACCCGGAAAGAAGAATCCCCTTTATATGGACCCCCGAGAATCCCCGTACAATCCCAACAAGAACGAGGCTAAAAGAATGGTTTCTTTAAGGGATTCCAATGGTCCTTTTTCCTTTTTGTAAGGGTCCTTCATACCGCATGGTCCGTTACAACGGCATTTAGCTGAGGGTTTTTTCATTTGACGAATATGACCTGACTGGAGTCACAATACAAACAATCATGCTTCCTTAAAGGCCAATCCGTTACCAGATTCCCAACAAATGCCAAGAATTACGGCGGCTGTAAATGTTCGGTTCATAGAGTCAACAGTTGTAAACTATACGTTGACACCTGAAGTTGGCTATACATTTCCCATTCTGGCTGCAAATTCTCGGCTCTTCTTAATATCCCCTCCTACCCCCTCGCCCCACCTTGCATCCCAATGCACCCGTGTTGAACGAAAACGCTGAAATATCCCTTCTCAATACCTCCTTTGGCAACATCTAGAAGGGACCTGGAAACCTTGCCCTATGCATTTAAATGGACAACCTAATTGCCCGTAGATCCTTATGCACCCCTTCAGAGGGGGGCCCCTAAACCCTACATCTCCCTTGTCTGTACCTCCTGTGCACCCCTTAAACCGGACCGCTAAACCTTAAATATCCCCTTCCCCATACCGCCTGGCCACCCTTTCAGAGAGACCCTTACCTTGAGAAGAACAGCTAAACCTTAAATCTCCCCTGCCCATACTCCCTAGGCACCCCGCTAGAGGCACCCTGAAACCTAAATATCCGTTTTCTCTCGCAAGCGCACTCGTCAGCTATTGGCACCTTTGCAGGGCCCCTAAACCATAAATGTTCCTTGCACATGCCGTTTAGGTACCGCTCTGAAAGGAACCCTAAACCCTCACTCACTGCCCATAATCCCTACACACCCCTAGATCCTCGACATCCCTGGCCCACACCCTCCCCCCCAACCCTCCCTGATATTCTGTCCACCATCAACTTCCTTTGTTGTGCCGCGCGTGGAGCCGGGCCAAGGCGGACGGCGAGAAGCGATTGGAATTCATCCATGAGGACTTCTAGTTAATTTTTCTAGTTTAGGCTTTGAGGCATAGAGTTTGGGTTGAGGTTGCTGGGGTTGGGGTTGGCCTTCACGTTTAGCGTTTTCGAGTTTGGGCTTAACAGGATTAGTGTAGAAGGTTTTTGGGCTTGGGGTTTATGGCCAGGGCTGAGGACTTGCATTTGGACGGAGTAGCGCTCAGAGCGTTGGGTAGTATCCTGCATGTTGGCTCTGGGAGCAGGGGTTTGGGCTGGGGGCAGAGGGATTTTCGGTTCAAGGTTTAGGGGCTGCCGGGATACCAGGAACGTGTTCAGGATTCCAGTTTAGAGTGTATGGTCTGGAGATTGGGTTTGCGGCCTTGCGCACGTAAGGTTTTAGGGTGAAGGCGCTGGGCTTAAGGTTCAGGATCAGGGTTAAGGGCTTTAAGTTACGGGGTTTAGGTTGTTTAGGGTTGCAACTTTAAGTTTAGCGCAGGAGTTTTACGGCAGACTTGCCACATTGGGGGATGTTTCAGTGATCCAAGAATGCAAGTTGATTCATCTGGAGCTACTGCACAACTTACTGTACCATGCATCACTGAAATTGGTAGCACTGCCGCCAAAGGCTCGTTGCTGAAGTCTGTATTCCCATCATCCGTGAGTACGACAACAGCTGCGTCTTTGGCCCTGCAAGGTAAGGCAGTGTGTAATGGCTAGTGGGGGCATGAGGCAAACGGAGCCTGAAGTCCTGTACCATCTGCTTCATGTCTTCGTATGCAGGATCAGACCTGCCACATAGCACCAGGTTTCGGAGCGCCAGTCTAAAGGGAAAATCCCGACCTCATTGCAACGCAAATCACGGGAACAAAGTTTCTGATCAAGGTGATCCCGCCATGCCTGTGCGTGATGGTGAGAAGAATTGCCCTTGCCCGTATTGGAGTCATGTAGGCCTGATTTCAGATGCGGGAAAACCTTCAGCATGGATGTAGGATATCTCCTGTCGGACAACTAGCATTTGTCACTCTCACATACTCTCACTTTCAATCAGAAGTGCAACAAGTCCTTCAGTTTCAAGGCACCCTCCAGCGCAACTGGAAAATGGATGCCCATTCCACTGAAAATCGCATTGGTGGCCAACCGGAAGTACCTCTGCACAGGCCAAGCTAATCTGGAAAAAGTAGCTTTGCTCGGGGCCGGGCTTTGACACAATTCTCGTTTGGTCTGTAAGAGCTGCCAACCTGAGCGCCATCGAGCGAAATTCCAAATGGCAACACTCCCATGTGAACACGTTGCAGGGAGGAGATATCAGATACCTGCCTGTACGACTCGGCACGACTGAGCCACCCGCCATTTTTCTATGCTGTCAGGCACCGAATTCAATGCCGCACAGTAGCTGTTCAGCCTTGCTTGGAACGTGCACACGCAACCTTTGCTTGGATTTCATGTGCCCGAGTGCAGGATTCGGGGCAAGCACGTGGTCTCAGAAAGTACACCCCGCTGCTTGCCAAGACGAAGCGCCATCAACAGCAGCGCGACAACCTGCAAACCATGCAATCGCAAATGCAGTGAGAGCGAAAGCTTGATCATCAGGGGCATGCCTGGCACGTAAAAGCCTTTGTTGAAGCGACACCGATTTCAGGTCCGGCATGCAAGTACATCCCTGCATCAGTCCTCGGGACGATAGCAACCCGATTGTGATTGAATGCATCTTCCGGCGGTGTTTGCCAAGACCAGCTCTCACGCGCAATGCTGGAGCCCACCACATTCACTACTCCGATCGTTAGAGCCTCACATGTCCCGCGGAGGCTCACCTCTGCAACAATCAATTTGAACATGTCCTGCGCGCCTGATGTTGCTTTGCCATCTTGATTGCCTGCAGATGGGACAGAATCGTGTGCACTGCGTTTGGAAAATGTTGGAAAGATCCAAGAACCGACCAACCTCCAACGTGTCTGCCGTTTCACCACTCTGAGAAATTGCAATGAGGCAGTCCGACCGACCTTTCCAATTTATCAGCTGCGGCAGCCAAGTTAAGCCGCTCTGATCTGAAAATGCAGATTGCAAACGACGAGGCAGCAACAGATCAGCGGCTTTCGATACCTGAATTCGCTGGCCTCTGGAGTATGAATGAAGTGGCATTGGTCCGAAATAGAAATTCGCCACTGCGTTGGTCATGTGCCAGTCTTCTGCTTGCGAAAACGTCTACTTGTGATGAGAAAGCCCGCTTCAAGTTGTGCACCACGGCAGATGCGCGTTGCTGACCAGGAAATTGCCCCAGAAAAATGGCGATGCGGCTTGAGTACGGTTGTTACACAGCTGAGATCTGAGCATGGAAACATTGCGACATGAGATTTGTCGGAACCTGATGCCCCGCCACGCCAGACTTGTACGACAACCCAACCTGATCCTGGGGCCCATGTGCTGCTGCAAAACCCTGCATGACTGTTTGCTGCCAGCCCGCTGCCACTTGAGTGCACAGGGTCCACATGACACCTTCCATGTCACGACCTCCAGCCCTTCATAGCCTCACCATGCCCACACAGAACTCACGCTAAGTTACATCGTTGTAGATCCTATTGGAAAAGCTTGACAAGCTTTGGCATCTCTGTGATCCGGACATTGTACGAAAGCTTCTTTGTTTTGACAGTAGCGTTGACCACAGTGCCTACCTGGACATCTTCCTCCACTGGATTCTCGAAGCCATCAACTTCCAGCGACATGTCCTTCCTGGACGCCTTCCAGAAGGCAGATTGTACTGTCGCAGTCAAGCCAGTCTTTTTGACCCCGGCCGCCGGGGCAAGTGATCCTTGCATAGCTCTGAGCGGTTTTTGGAGACTTCGCCCGATCTATGTCCCAGCCACCACAACCACCACCACCGCCACCGCCGCCGCCAGCGCCAGCGCCAGCGCCAGCACCAGCACCAGCACCAGCACCAGCACAGGCCACGTTGTCGTGCCTAACCTGTACCTGTCCAACAGCATCCAGCCAAATGGTCAATCAGTCTGCAGGTTCCTCAGATTTGTCAGAATGAAAATCGGTAAGAGTGTTTATTTTTTGTTGTCTGGTCTTTTTTGTTGTTTGGGCTTTTCGGGTGTTATTTTTTTTGCTGTTTGGGCGGGGGCGTGTTTTTTTTCTTTTTTTT